GCCCTCCTGGCAGAGTGAAGAAAGCTGGTGGCTTAGAGCAGAGACAAAGCCAGAGAAGCCCTTTCAAAGTGACAGTTGAAGATAGTGGCATTTCAGTTCCTCCTTTCTTAGTCTAAAGCTGCACTGTGTGATAAGGGGTCCATTTGGCCACACAGGGCTGTTGAGCACTTGAAATGTGGCTAGTGGGACAGAGGACCTGACTTTTTAATAACTTTTTTTATTTTTTAAAGCAATCTCTACACCCAATGTGAGGCTTAAACTTATGACCCCAAGATCAAAAGTCACATGCTCTACCGACTGAGGCAGCCAGGTGCCCCTGACTTTAAAAAAATAATAATTTATTTACTTACTGGGGGTGGGGGGGATATGGCGGGGGAAGAGCAGAGGGAGAGAGAATCCCGAACTGACTCCGCGCTCAGTGCAGAGCCCAATGTGCGGCTCAATCTTACAACCCTTAATCTCAAGACCCTGAGATCATGATCTGGGCTGAAATCAAGAGTTGGACACTTAAATGAATGAGCCACCCAGGCACCCCTGACTTTTTATTTTAATTGTAGTAAAATATACAACATAAAGTTGACCATCTTAACCATTTTCTAAAATCAGTAGTGTTGGGGCACCTGGGTGGCCCAGTCAGTTGGGCGTCTGCCTTCAGCTCAGCTCTATGGTCCCAGGGTCCTGGGATTGAACCATGAGTCCAGCTCTCTGCTCAGCGGGAGCCTACTTCTCCCTCTCCCTTCTGCTCCCCCTGCTTGTACTCTCTCTCTCTGTCAAATAAATGAATAAAATCTTTAAAAAATAAAAACATTAAAAAAAATAAAATCAGTAGTGTTAAGTACATGCAATGTTGTTCATGCGATCTCCACAGTCTTTTTGTCTTGAAAGCCTGAAACTCTGTATTTTTTTTTAAAAGATCTTATTTATTTATTTGACACAGAGAGACACAGCGAGGGGACACATGCAGGGGGAGTGGGAGAGGGAGAAGCAGGCTTCCCACCAAGCAAGGAGCCCGATGTGGGGCTCAGGCTTAACGACTGAGCCACCCAGGCGCCCCTGAAACTCTATACATATTAAACAATTCCCCATTTCCTGCCTCCCCACAGTCCCTGGCAACATCACCAGTCTTCTTTCTGGCGCTATGAATCTCAGTACTTTTGATACCTCATGTATGTGGAATCATGTAGTATTTGTCTTTTTGTGACTGGCTTATTTCATTCAGCATGATGTCCTCGTTTCATCCATGTAGTAGCATGTCTTGAAATTTCCTTCTCTCTTTTTTTTTTTTTTTTTTTAAGGGCGAGCACAAGCAGGGGAGGGGGCAGAGGGAGGAAGACAGAGAGAATCCGCTGAGCCTGGATGCAGGGCTCAATCTCAGGACCCTGAGATCATGACCTGAGCCAAAATCAAGAGTTGGACTCTTAGCTGACGGAGCCACCCAGGCGCGCCACAATTTCCTTCTCTTCCTTCTCAGTGAACTAGGTTGCTTCCACCTTTTGACTATTGTAAAAAATGCGGCTATGAACATTGGTGTACAGATAGCTTTCAGACCTTACTTTCAATTATTTTGAGTATATCCAGAAATGTAATTGCTGGATCATATGGTAATTCTTTTTTATTGAGTATTTACCATACTGTTTTCCATAGTGGCTGCACCATCTTGCATTCCTGCCAGCAACACACAAGAGTTCCAATTTCTGGGGCGCCTGAGTGGCTCAGTCATTAAGCGTCTGCCTTCGGCTCAGGTCATGATCCCAGGGTCTGAGATCGAGCCCAGCATCGGGCTCCCTGCTCAGCGGAGAGCCTGCTTCTCCCTTTCCCACTCCCCCTGCTTGTGTTCCCTCTTTCACTGTGTCTCTCTCTGTCAAATAAATAAATAAAATCTTAAAAAAAAAAAAGAGTTCCAATTTCTTCACATGCTTGCCTTAATTTAAATTTAAATACTGATAATTCAGTTACTGGAAAACTTTTAACTATGTTTGGAACAACATGGATATGTGAATCTACTTTTTTAACTGTAAATTTTACAAAATATAAATACACTTTAGGGGCGCCTGGGTGGCTCAGTTGGTTAAGCGACTGCGTTCGGCTCAGGTCATGATCCTGGAGTCCCTGGATCGAGTCCCGCATCGGGCTCCCTGCTGGGCGGGGAGTCTGCTTCTCCCTCTGCCCCTCCCCACTCATGTGCTCTCTCTCATTCTCTCTCTCTCAAATAAATAAAAAATCTTTAAAAAAAAAAAAATATATATATATATACTTTAGTTATTCCCAATAAAAATTTAACATCTGTATTCAGATGTGCTGTTCAGTAGAAAATACACACCAGCTTTCAAAGATTTAATCCAGTAAAAAATAATATAAACTGTTTCATTGATAATTTTATATATTGATTACATATCAATATTTTGGATATGTAAAAACATAAAATTAATTTAACCTATTTCTTCCTACTTTTGTAAATGTGGCTCCTAGAAAAATTTTAAATTACATATATGGCTCACATTCTATTTCTACTGGACAGCACTACTATAGAGATTGCCTCCACTCAAACATAGTGAAAATCACCAGATTCCAGAAGATAAACTCCTCCCTAGGGTCCCAATTGTTTTAAAAAAAATTTTTTTTAAAGATTTTATTTATTTGAGAGAGTGAGAGAGAGCAAGAGAGGGAGAGCACAGAGGGAGGGGGAGGAGAAGCAGACTCCCCGCTGAGCAGGGAGCTTGATGCAGGGCTCATCCCAGGATCCAGAAATCATGACCTGAGCTGAAGGCAGACATTTAACCGACTAAGCCACCCAGGAAACCACCCCCCAATTGTTTTAATATTTACATCTTATGCCCTTAATATTTACATCTATCTTTCTTTTACTACAGGAGGAGTCCCTGAATGAAACTCCCTCTCCTTTTTTTTTCAAGATTTATTTGAGAGAGAGAAAGCACGAGGCGACGAGGGGCAGAGGGATAGGGAGAGAGAAACTTTAGCAGACTCTGTGCTGAGCGAGGGGCTTGATGTTAGGACCCTGAGATCCAGACCTGAGCCAAAACCAAGAGTCCCATGCTTAAACAACTGTGCCACCCAGGCACCCTTGAATGAAAATTTCTATTCAGTTATCACAAAAAGCCAGGCTGTTCTACCTATTTCCCCAGTGACTATCAGTGTTCAGTTTTGGTATCCTATTTTCTATGTTTTGTTGGTGTATCATAGCCATATGCCTTCCATTACAGAGTCAATAAACTCCTGTGCCTGGGGTGAAGGCTGGGGGCTGCATATAACACCTCCCCAAGGAAAGCTCAGGGGATATGTTAATGTGTTTGCAGAGTAAAAGAGGTAGTTTCCTCCTTCTTTAATTTGACAATGCTGCCTTGAAAAAACTTCTGTACGTTTGTGGTTCTTAACCACTTACAGCTTATTTCCACTCTGAAAGCAGTCTGAAATCCTGGACTGACTTACTTCCCTGTAACAATAAAGTAGTGGGGCAGTACCTTGACCAGGTGTAGTCACTTTTAGTGACTGATGGCTACATGACAGAGGGGTGTGCGGGGACCCAGGAAGAAACCCTGTCATGTTGGGGTGGAAGAACCAAAAGCTAGAACTGAGACAGAAGAGCTGTTGTTGTGACTGTATTTGCCCCTCATACCGGGGTCACTCAAGATATAACACCCATCACTACCACTCCAATGCAAAAAGGATAATTGTTCATAATTTTTTTTTTAAGATTTATTTATGTGAGAGAGAGAGAGAGCACAGGCTCAAGTGAAGAACTGAGGGGGAGGGAGAGAGAATCCTCAAGCCAACTCCTGGCTGAGCGTGGAGCCCAACTCTGGGCTGGATCCCAGGACCCTGAGATCATGACCTGAGCCAAAACCATGAGTTGGACGCTTAACCATAGGCTTAGCTGCCCGAGCCACCCAGGTGCCCCAATTCATAGTTTTTTTTTTAAATAAAATTTTTATTTTGGGATCATTTTAAATCTACAGAGAAGTTGCAAAGATAGTACAGGGAATACCTGCATACCCTTTACTGTTTTTCCTATATTTAATGTCTGATATAACCATGGCACATTTGTCAAAACTAAGAAATTCACATTGGGGGTACCTGGGTGGCTCAGTCGTTTAAGTGTCTGCCTTTGGTTCAGATCATGATCCCAGGGTCCTGGGATTGAGTCTTGCATGGCCTCCCTGTTCAGCAGGGAGTCTGTTTCTCCCTCTCCCTTTACCCCTGCCCCTGCTTGTGCATGCTCTCAATCTCTCAAATAAATAAAATCTTTAAAAAAAAAAAATTAAATTCACATTGGTAGAATACTCTTAAACTATAGACTTTAATCTGATTTTACCATTAATGTCTTTTTTTTTTTTTTTAAAGATTTTATTTTTTAGAGAGCGAGCGAGAAACAGCATGAGAGGGGCGAGGGTCAGAGGGAGAAACAGGCTCCCCGCTGAGCCGGGAGCCCGATGTGGGACTCGATCCCAGGACCCTGGGATCATGACCTGAGCCGAAAGCAGACGCTTAACCATCTGAGCCACCCAGGCGCCCTAATTTTACCATTAATGTCTTTCTACTGTTCTAGGACCCAACACATATGCCACATTGCATTTAGCATGCAAGCTTTTTATATACCAAGATCTCGCCCCATTTTACCATTCACGTTAATGTTTTTATTTCTTGGTATAGACTGTAAGGTTTTATTTTTGTGTGTATGCTTACTTATAATTCTGAAATAGTGTTTATTCATACTGGTGATGCCCACCAAAGACTACCCAGACATAGTTACGGTCAAACAATGAAGGGTTATTAGCGGCTGTACTGAGGGAGACCTCAAACCATGGGGAGTCTCAGGACGGGGGTGTTAAAGAGGGTTCATTATAGTATATGGGCTTCTGTTAGGTGATTTGGGGGAGGGTCCAAGGAAACAGGTTCTGTTCTGGTGCTGTCAGAAAGCAGGGGCAATTCAGGGACTAGCTTAATTTTTATCTAGAAAGCAGGAGGAATGGGACATTGCTTACGTTCATCAGGGAGGGCATCCAGGCCGGCTACCAACCGTGGCTCTCAGAGCTGCTTTTCTTAGTGCTGCACCTGATCGTAATTAAGACAGAAAGCAACAGAAGACTGCTTAGCAGCTTTTGGTACAGAAATGACAACTTTGGTCCCCGATACTGCTAATTCCAAATGTGTACATGTGCTTAACAAACAACTCCTCACCAAGGGCTGACAAGTTCAGTCTGTCTCATTTCGAGCAAAAAACACGGGTGGCCTGGATGTAGCAGGAACTCAAATGACATCGAACTGGCGCGTTTCTCCCGCAATGAACATCTCGGCCCCGGCACTTCGTCTCCCAGAACCAGGCCTGAGGCCAAAGCCCTGCCCTCCGGGGGAACCGGGAGCCAGGTGAAGCTACGCGACAACGCGGAGTAGCGACCCAAGAGCTGGGAGCACAGCCTGCGCCCGCTCCTCAAACTCTGCCCTTGGAGCCGCCTTTATGTCTCCGCTGTTCTCGGTTCCCTTTCTCCCTCGGCAGGAAATGACTCCCTTTTTCTCCTCTCACGGTGGTCTTCGATCTAGGCGTCTTTTGGGCTCAATGTTTGGGGTGCTTTTCAGTCTGCCCCTTCAGGGGCTCAGGAACGCTCTGCCGCACCGCTCCCCTCCGGCCCCCCTCCGCGGGCCCCGGCTCCCCCACACGCTTGGCTGACCAATTTCCGCTCGGAGCCGGGCGCGTCACAATGGTGCCCTCGCCGCCTCGCCACCCGAGCGGGTCACTGAGGGTCCGCCCCGCCGCACTCCATGCGTCCTTCCAGCCCCGTCTTCCTGGAGAAGGTGGGGTTCCGCGGGGAAACAGGCTAGTGATGACGGCGGGGGCGCGGGCTCCCGGGTCTGTTGCTCCTGGGGCTGTTGCTCCTGGGTGCTGGGGTGCAGGGCCGAGCGGGAATCGGGCAAACCCCGAGCAGCGGGGCTGAGGTAAACGCCGCGTACGCCCGACGGGCGGGAGTTGTGCACTCGGGCCTGCCGCGCACCAGACCCCGCCCCTCGGAGGCCCCGCCCAGGGCGCGCTGCCAGGGGTTTCCATGGTGATGGCAAATAAGCCTTAACGGCCTCCCCTACAACTGCCAAGTTCCCCGCGTTCCACCCTCCTCTGGGTGCTCAGAAGGACGATCGAGGTGCCGGATGTGAAGAGAAGGAGCGTGGAGACTCGGAGCCCGAGGTGAGGGGCGGGACGGGCGGCGGGTCTGAGGCTGAGGGCCGCACAATTGGGACCGACCGGGAACTTGGCCCTCTGGGGGTGGGGACAGCGGGACTGAGATTTGGAGTGTATGTTGGGCGGTGGGGTTTCGTTGTAGAGGGAGCCAAGTGAGGGAATCGCTAGTCCATCTGGGGAGATGAAGACAAGGGGATCCAGAGGGACCGAGTTTGAGGAATCCCTTCCTTAGGCCAGGGATGTCGGGGGAGTCCTAGACGGTGGGCATCCCAGGACCTGCAGGTCTGCGACGTCTGCGCCAGCCTGAGGGACACCTTTAAGGGTAGTGAGACGTGGCGGGGGGTGGGGAGGGTGGAGGCTCTTAATTAATTAAAGGCAGTACTTTCACATATTCAAGAATCACAAACTTGCACAAGGCTTTATTACTCAAAAACTTTCTTCTCTCTATAGCCCCATTTCCTGCCTCCCTGAGGAAATATTTTCAAGCCTTTGAACTTTTCTTCTCCAGAAATTTTACTTCTTCCTCTTCTATCTGCATTTCCTCTCTGTGGTCTTCCTTTATCTGCTTCACTAAATTTGAACACTTCAGTCTGAAATATTTCCTCATTGATTTCCTTTGCCTCTTGGTCAGGCTTTGCTGCTTCCTGCTGTATATATATATATGTATATATATATATTATAATATATTATAAAACACTGTTTTCTTCAGTGCCTTTCTTTTGTTAATTAGCCTTGTCTGTTGTCTTCACAGGATTATTCTAAGACCAAGCATAAAGCTATAATATTTTTTGCTGTTTTACAGTATTCCATTTAATAAGCAAGCAACACTCCACTATTCTGTTAAAGGACATATAGGTTGTTTCCAGTTTGGGTTACTATAAACAGTGGTGCTTTGAACCAGCACGTGACTTCTGGGGCACCAGTGATGTGGGAACAAAGGCAGAAGGAAATGTAGATAAAATTAAATGTCCATATAACCTGCAGCCCATTGACAAATACTTAAGACAGGCAGAGTATAACCTTCCTCCAGGAAGCTCCCAACTCTTTTAATGTTAATGACTTGCTAGAGGGAAAAACAATCTTGGTTTGAAAATAGCGAGGTCGCTGGTATCCTGTGTTCTTTAGCATATGAAGATCCTTTAGAACTTCCCTTATCTCAAGAATTCTTTCTTGGTCCTCAGCTCTGGAGCTCACCCCACCAAACCTCACCTATGTTCCAAAACTATGTTAGATGTGCCAGACTTACTTTAGATTATACCTACAGTGGAATTCTTGGGTTATAGGATTTGCCCACATTTAACTTCATCACGTAAAGATACTTTGGAAAACAGTTGTGCCAGTTTACCTCCTAAAGCCAGTGGGATTGCTAGATTAGAGAGTGAGTAAATATTTAATTTTGTAAGCAATTACCAAACTTTTCCAGAGTGTCTGTACCATTTTGCATTCCCATTAGCAATGCATGAGAGTTCCAGTTGCTTTACATCTTCACTAGTACTTGATATTGTCAATTTTAAAAACTTAAAATATTTTTTAGCCATCTTAATGGAGTATATGGCCATATATTATTATGACTTTAATTTGCATGTCTCTAATAGCTAATAATGTTGATTATCTTTTCATGAGCTTATTTGTCATCCTTATATCCCTTTGTAAATATCTGGACAAGTGTTTTTCCCATTTTAAAAATTGAGCTGTTTCCTTTCTGTTGAGTTTTGAAAGTCCTTATTCTATCTTAATATAGGTCCAGGGGCACCAGGTGGTTCCAGTTGGTTAAGCATCTGCCTTCAGCTCAGGTCATGATCCCAGAGTCCTGGGATCAAACCCCCCATCAGGCTCCCTGCTCAGCGGGGAGCCTGCTTCTCCCTCTCCCTCTGCCTCTTCACTCTGCTCCTGCTCTCTCAAATAAATAAATCTTTATAAATAAATAAATCAATAGATCACTAAATACAGGTTCAAATGCGTGATTTACAAAATTTTCTTTCAATTTGTAGTTTGTCTTCTCCTAACAGTGCTGCAGAGCAAAAAAGATTTTAATTTTGATGAAGTCAAGATTCTCAACTTTTTCTTTTATGGATCTTGCTTTTAGTATTTTTTTTTTTTTTTT